TCGATTTCGTTTTACCGATGAAGAACAAAGTTGGGGGTGGGGAAAAAGGGCTGACAATTAAAGGTCTCGAGGTATCTCGAGAATAAGAGTGAGAAAAATAGAAAGAGAAAGAAATAAAGAGAATGAGAGAGAGAGAGAGAGAAAGAGGGAAAGAGAGAGAAAAATATCAGGCTATGGTAGGAACGTCGAGGAGCTAATTACAATTTCTCTGCGAAGGTTCTTCTCCTCCTCGTCATCGAGACCCCCGAGGTGCCAAACGAAACGAGCGTTTCCGCTTGGTAGCTTCAATGCCAAGCGGAAAGAACGAAGGAGAGAGAGGAAGATAGAGATAAAACGAGATAAAACGAGAGAAAACGAGATAGAAGGGGTGAAAACGATGAAACAGAGGGTTAAGAAGAGAGTAGTAAGGGTAAGAACACTTGGAAACAAACAACAAAAGCATCCGCGAACTGCACAAACGTATCCTATAGAAGCAACACACCGGTATCATCTAACAGCTGTTGAAAGAAACGAAGAAGAAATATGAAATAAGAAGGAAATAAAAAGAAAAAAAAAGTAGAAGAAAAAATACAAAGAAAGAAGAAGAAGAAGAAGAAGAAAAAAGGGATTTACCCCTCAGAGTTGAGGTTTCAAAGTAAAAATTTCTTACGAGTTATCTCATCCCTCATTCCCCATTTTCTTCAACGCAACTTCGAGGAGAGAGGAACACAAATGTTGAGGGTATGTAAAAAAAAAAGAAAATATAAGATGGTAGCATTTTTGTTGGTTACGAATTAATTGAATAAGAGTCGCCGAGCTGTCGGGGGATGTGCTGCGGGTTCTAGTCAAAGTAAGTAAGTAAGTAAGGGGATGGTGGTGGGATCAAAAAGAAGAAGGGTTTCTGTCTGTTTTGCACCAGACGAACGAAAACGCCTTCTCGTCGTCGTTTTAAAGAGCTACCACCACCCCCAACTCCCATGCTCCCCACCACCTTCAACCAACCCCAACGTCGTCGTCGTAGTTCGTCGTCGTATCTCTCCCTTTTCGCATTCTCTTACGACACCCTCCTTTTTCCCTCCATTTTCCCTCCTCCTCCTCTTCCTCTTTCCTTCTCTTCTCTTTTCTTTTCTTTCGCTACGTAGAACGTACGAAGAAGACGAGTACGTATATTCAGGACAGACTTGAGGAAGGGTGACTTAAGGTAGAAAGAGAAAGAAGATGAAGAGGAGGAGGAGGAGGAGGAGAACGAGGAGTAGAACGAGGAGTAGAACGAGGGCGCACAGGGGGAGGAGGATTGAAGAAACGCTTGGGGGTTGCCATCTACTCTGAATTCAGAAACGATCAATGCTCCAGGAACCCAGCAGTACCAGCACACACCACTATACCCTTCACCCCTTCTCTACTATCTATCTATCTTTCTATCTTTCTATATATCTATATATCTATATATATCTATATCACGCTTGGTGCAAAAGAGAAAAATAGAAATAGAAAGAGAAAGAAGAAGAAGAAGAACAGGCAAACCTTTCTTATTCTTATTTCGTTCTTCGTATTCTTGAATTCCCACTCGCTTCCTAACCCCCTCCTCCTCATCCTGTTCTATATATTTCTCTATCTCTTTTGCCACCCTTTTTCTTTTCTTATTCTTTTGGTTTTCTTCCCTTTCCTCTAGGCAAGCCGGTAAGCATCTCATCCCTTTACGAGTAAAAGCGACTCCACAGGGGGGTGGCTTGATTCGTCGACGTAGACGTCGTGCTGACAGCTCGACTCTCTCTTCGTGGTAAAACGGAGGTCGAACGATTTGCCAAACTTCCGGGAGACACTTTTCTTTTTTTTCTTTCTTTTTCTTTTTCTTTTTTTTTTTTCATCCACACCCCACGTTGGAATAAAGAATGAAGTCACGTGATCGAGACTGAGATAAATATACCAAACTATCGAAGAAACAATTCCATGATCTAAATTTTACTTCAAACGATTGATCATATTTTTAATTTGTAGTTTCTATGTTTTATATATAACACCTTTTACGTTTGAAATTAGAGATTGGTTTATTTATAATTTTATTTGAATTTTTAAATACATGTTTGTTTGATGATTTTAAAATATAAAAAAGAACACATACATATGCGGTTAATTTACGCGGTACCGATAGTTATATTTGATGTAGCATAATATATTATTTATTTATCAATTTCATTTTTAACCCACATATTATATAATTTTGAAATTATAATTTTGACAATATTATTTATCATTTTTATACACTCCAATATAAATTCCTATTAACGCAACAAATTAAATTGACTCAATCATTTACAATATATAATATATAATATAATAATTATAATATAAATATATAATATATATATATATATATAATTAATATAATAAATATATATATGAATATTTGATATTAGAAAATTCATCCCTTTAATCGAAGTTAACGTACTATATTTAAAATAAGGAAATAAGTAAAGGGGTATTTTTTATATCCTACAAATGGAAAAACATATTGATATATAGATGGAATAATAAAGCAAAATAAAAAGAAAGATAGGAAGTATGAGAATGAATGTATGTGTGTGTGTGAGAGAGAGAGAGAGAAAGAGGGAAAAGGAAAGATATATAGAAAAGGGAAACGCGATTTGTACGTACGATCGATCAAAACCCTCATCTCGTTCGGCCGAGGTCGGTCTATCGAGGCGATTCGATGAGCTAACGCCAACTTAACGCTACACACCCCACTGAGCTGCACTCGGTCAGATAACTCGTGGATTTTCGATCGTTCTCCGCGTTCCACCACGGATCTAGGTCGTTTACTCTCACTTGTGGATTCTTCTAAGTTCCTTCTTACTACGATCCTCTTCACAAATTTATTAAGTTCGTATTACCAACACTTCTGATGATGGATATTGATGATAATCACTTTATCAAATGAAATAAGACAATTTTTTCTTCGTTTTTACAAAACTAACACTTTCTTTAAAATTTGGAAATAGAATTTTTATTTTTATTTTTATTTTTTAGATAAGAACTACGTTAGTAAAAAAAGGAAACCTATTAACACTTTTTATTATATGTATAAAATTAAAATAATTAATGCTTAATATATTATTATATTATTCGTTATATTAAATAAAAAATATTTTATTTAATAATAAATAATTAATATTATTATATATAATATTAATTATATAAATATTAATATATTNTGTAGCTTTTGTGATGATAGCTTCTTTGATCATTGTCTGCTGTTCTAAATTCATCTGGAATTGTAAATTAGTATTATTTAATATGAATATATATTATTATATATAATAATATACACATAATCATATATTACTATAATTAATATTATTAATTAATATTATTAATTAATATTATTATATATAATATTATTTAATAAAAAATATCTTTCACACCAAAAGGGATAGTATAATTAAAATTTCTGTTTACATAAGTGATCAAAATTTTTTCAAAATATTCTAAATTCTCCGATTATATAGGTACTTATTCATTAATTTAAACTTAAATATGAACACAGGAATAATTTTGTAATAAATAATCGAAGGATTACTAAACGATATCGTATGTTAACATTATTCTTACGTATTTATGGATTAATATCGAAGAAACAGGAAATTAGTGATACCGAAAGGAAATAAAAATAAGAAAGAGACAGAAAGAAAGAGAGAGAAAGAGAGAAGTATAGTGAGAAAAAGGGCGAGTGTTGGAAGGTACGAGAGAATGGAAATCAATACGTGAAGTGAGCAGCAGCAACCAGTTTGAAGCACAGGAGCTGCCGGCTTTAGAAAGCCCTGAGACGTCGTCTGCTCATCCTCTTTGGACCCTGCGTTAAGAGAGCTTCAGCGGGGGTGAAGGAGAATGATAGAAAGAGAAAGAGAGAGAAGATGAAAGAAGAGGAGAGACAGGAGAGAAGAGAAGTTCCATTCAGGACTAATGGGGTTAAACGCCTTAGCCATCAACCGAACGTCTCCCTCTTGATTCTTGGACGTTCCGATTCGACTCCACTAAGATTCCAAGTACCCCCCTCCCCTAACCTTCCTACTCCTACTCTTCCTTTTCCTCTTATTCCTCCTCCTCCTTCTTCTCCTTCTCCTCCTATTCATTCAATCTTAAGAACTCTGCATGTGATATAACCCTTTTGTATCGAATAGATATGAAAAATATATTAAAAAAAAAAAATTCAACACGTTAGAAATTACCAAATATTTTATCAAATTTCGTAAATATATACGTTACCCCCCTAAAAAGTTGTTTTATTGAAGTTAACCCAAAACAAATAAGGAAAATATTGTTTAATTATAATAATATTTAAAGTGTTGGATATTGCGAGGACTGTAATTAGTATTTTTAAAAATGAAAATAATTAACAGAGGAAGTATTATATATATATATATATATATATATATTTTTAATTGATAACACGATTGTTGTAATTTTTGTTTTTTTTTAAGTTTCGATAAACTTTGTTATCCCTCCCCCCTAAAAGTATACTTTTCGATATACCAAATAATTGCAACTTTCAATTCTACGTTGTCATCGATAATTGTTTGTCGATTATTATATTTTATCGGGTTTCGATTCTTATGTAAGATCAGTGTTGTGATTAGAAAATATTTGTTATTAATCTCTTAGGAACTACATGCCACTATAGTGGTTTTCACGGATGCCATTTTCCAGTACAACGTGCTATTGTAATAGCTTTCACGGATAAGATCTTTTAAAATATATTATACTTAATTTTATTGATAATTATTAAAGTAAAGTGTATAAGTAAAAAGTTCTTTAAACAAAAATTATAATTTAATTATGAAAAACTTCGTTAAAATGTACTCGCGTACAGAACAAGCATTGGTCGTCACGCAACGTAGTTTTATCGTTTACATGTAATTCTCGTTGAATTCTGCCTTACAGAGAAAGAACTCCGCGTATTATTCAGCAGTGCCTAAGAGATTAATACGTTGATATTTAAAATGAAAAAAAAGAAAAAAACTTACCCTTGTGTGCCATATCGTCAGCGGTGACGGAGGCGAGGAGGCCGGTGGCGCCCGGCCATGGAGCGACCGCAGCGCCGAGCTGCTGCGTTGGCAGAATCTTTGGGCCTTTAACACCCTATTGGTCACTGTAACAAATTTTTATTTATTCATATTATTCAATAGATTTATATTAAACCTACAAAAAAGAAATCCCTACTGACAACTTATGTACACCCAATTAGAAACTGATTTGGTAAGATTGATCATAAATGTAATTAACATCTTATTGTTCACTGAAATAAATTCTTTTTATTCATATTATTCAATTTGCTTATATAATATTTATATTAAAATCTTACAAAATAATCTTACTGACAAATTATATTTATATCTATTTGCAAGCTGATTTAGTAAGATTGATTGTTTCTTGAATTTGAAAGTTTTACAACGATATATTATTATTAATACATCTGGTAATTATTTTAGTAAAACATATGCAGTGTATCAAATCATATTCACGTATTCTGAATAGTGATCTCAACGATGGTAAGAGTTCGAATAATAATCCATGCAAAAAAAATCATACGTATAATTAATTAAACAGTTAGCTGAAATGTTAAATTAAACGTAGAAAATAAATCGGTTGTTTAGAAAAAAATATATTATACTTTTAATTTGATCATATATTGACAAAAGGTGAATTAAGAGAAAGTGAATTCAATTTATTTTACGAACAATTAATAATTAATAATTATAAATAATTCATTGAAAATCATTGAAATATTACTAACAAATAATATTCATACCAAGTATGCGGTGCACAAGCTGACATGTGTACGGTAGGACGACCGAACTGTAACTGTCTCGACTGTTTACATGTATACAGAAAAAAAGTAAACATACTCGTACGTATAGAATATAATTTAACTATTTTAATGTACTTGAAAAAGATCAGGGACGCTATTGTTTATAAAAACTCTTTTCCTTTCGTAATCTTACGAAAAATGTTGACTAACGATATAAAACGCGTTTTCGTTTTAAAATAAATCTATGTTTCTTTTTTAAATATTTTCCGATTATCTGTAAATCGGATAATTAAAGTTCAACAAAAATTCATATTTTTTTTTTTTTTTACCGACTTTGATAATAAAAACAATTTGTCAACGATAATAAATGATTAAATTAATTTTAAATTATTAAAATTTTTTGTATTATTAATAAATAAAATATTAATTATTAATAATAATTATTATATTATAATATTATATTATAATAATAATTTATTTAATTAATAATTTATTTATATTTATTAATAATTAAATTAACTTTATTAAATTTAATTTTTAAAATAAAGCAAAAAAGAGATGCAGAATTTTTTCTTTTATTTTATTTTCAATTAAAAATCAAACATTTGACACAGATTAAATTCATTTTATGAGAAACACATTTCTTAAATCTTTCTCGAAAAATCTTTCCACCGACAAGTGTTATTTTTTCTTCTACTACTTCTTCTTCTTCTTCTTGTTTCTTTTCATTTTTATCTACATTATATATACATATGCATATGTATATATAATGTAGTTTTTTTTTTCTTCAACAGAAGTATATCTCTTATGTAATTCTTTCATTCGCATAACCCCACCTGTGTAAATTAGAACGCTTGACGTTTCATTGACATATCGTCATTCGAGCACTCTCTGCTCAAACGTGGCACACGCTACAAAAAAATTATAATATACTCTAATCAAATATTTTTTACCTAATTTTTTTTTTTTTTTTTCACATATTTTTTATTATTTTTTTTTCGATCAATTACTCATTCCTCGTACCTTCCATCATTGACTTTCTTAATGCAAAGAAGAAGAAGAACAAGAAGAAGAAAATCATTCAAGACAAAATTTGGCCTACATAGAAATAAAATTTGTATGTTTGCACTCTTCCTCCCTCTTTCCATCCCTTCCTCTCACTCCCTCACCCCCTATACACGTATACACTACACGTATTTACATAAAGATGATCGTTCGTTTTGAAAAAACAAAAAGAGTCGACGTTTACCCTCTTAAAACGTGATTCCTCCCATGAAATAATACAACCATGTAGGGATTCTGTTAAAAGAGAGAAATAAAAGAAAAARAAAAAGAAAAAAGGGGGATGAACGTAACATTGGCGATATGAAGTATCGTAATTACCTCGCTTCGTACTCGTTGAAGATGGTTAACTACTCTCGCTAAAGTAACACCCCTTCAAATTCTTCATCGCGTTTGCACCGAGAAAGCGCGAGAAAATAACAAACTAAGAGATATGAGAGAATAAAAAAAAAAACAAAAAATAAAATAGAATGGTAGGAGAATTAAAAAGAGAGAGAAGATACAGGAGAAAAAAGAAAATACATTGGTGAAGGATCGGAGGGAGTAGAAGTGAGGCTAAGTGCGATAATTAGTGTTCCGAAGGGGTTCCCTTGGTTATCATCGTGATGCATATGAGAGATATCTCTCAAGAGAGTATAGAAAAAAAAAAAACGAACGTATATGAAAGAGCTATCAAGATAAAATAAAATATTCGTCTATTTTTTTACACGACCTTATCTACACAAGAAATGTTGTATCTTTTTTTTCTGTATATGGTAGTAGATAGGGTAGGATGATAGAGAAGAGGATAGGGGAAGATATTTTGGAAGAGGAGGAGGACAAACGAGTAAGTAAGTATACGTCAAATCGGAATAAAAATAAAATGTGTATGTTAATATATACATATATGTTACTTATGTATACATAATTTTTTGTATAGATTGTACGAGTTTGGGGGACATATGTTATCAAATTTCTGCGTCGAAAATTGAACACCTGATCTTACATTAAACGTTAAATATTCAATATTTAATAACTTATTTGTTTTATTATTTTTTTTTTTTTTTTCATAATTCTTATTTTATAGTAATATCTGTTGTTTTATCTGTTATATCGTTACAAATGTTATTCACAAAATATCTTTTTGCGGGTTAATATTAATTGGATTATGCATTAGAATGAATTAATCGATACATGTTGAATTTAGTTATGAGTTAACGTTCAATTTGTTATCATTTCAATGCGAAGGTAACCAAATGTTAATGGAAAATAAAAAAGTATTTCTGTATATATAAATCCATGATAAAATCAAAATGAAATGATTCAATGTATTACATTGAAACTCATTTCTTATGAATTTTAATGAGTCAATAAGTTGATCGAATGAAACCAACGTTAACGTTAAAAATAAATACTTGTAGATAAATCAGTAAAAAAAAAAAAAAAAAGAGAAAAAATAGGAAAAAACTTCCATGTGAAATCTTTTGAATTACTACATACAATTATACGTGATAGAAAATAAAATAAATCCATTATTAGATTGATTTTAATAAGTGTTCAAATCTATTACGGTATTAGGAATTATACAAATGAAATCATCAATGCAATTGTAAAAAAAAAAGTATCTATAAATAAATCTTTGATAAGACAAAACAAAGAGCATTATTCAAACGTAGCAAAAGAAGGGAATAAAAGTATACATAAGTAGAAGGAGACTACACTTTTATGATAAAAAAAAAAAAAAAAAATAGAAAAATACCCTGTGAAAGCATTGACAAGAGTTAACGAACTAATTAGGACGTAATAAATCCTGAAATCGTTATTGTTAGTTCTCTCGCGTGTTGGTGTATCGAACGAAAGAGAACAGAGAAGAAAAAGAAGACAAAAATTATGAGAGAAAGTGAGAAAAGAGAGATGAAGAGGGAACGATGTCAATGGGGAAAAGAAACAGATTCGTGAAACGAAATGAAACGATATATGAAACGATACAAATATGGATACTGATACGATACAAGAAGCAAAGGATGAACGTCGCGAAGTGAAACAACACATTGGCGCTCATTCGTAGAATGAAAGAACCTTTTCAGACACAAATCATGACGCAAAGTGAGCGCTCTGTTACGCGGATTGACGATTTAACGCCCGTACTGGGAAATTCTAAAAGAAAAGAGAAATAAAGATAATTATCAAAGGGTTACGGATTATTTACCGTAGTCTCAACGAGATGTACGATGTACCTTGAATACGGGGAAAAAATAGGGGAGTGGGGGTGGGTAAAAAAAAATTATGAGTAGTAATAGTCGTGACGTAACGTTTTAAAGAAAAGCACGAAGTTACCGAAAGGAATAATAAAAATAAAAATATCAACAGGAAAAAAGATATTGAAAGAAGAAAAGAGAGAGAGAGAGAGAGAGAGAGAGCATAACATAGAAATGGAAAAAATGTAACTACCAGCTGTTTTCTGTCACCGACGGTACATAATCGGATCTGAAGAATTATAAGAAAAGAAGCGAGAAAGCATGTTCCATCGTTCACTGTAAATTGTTCGAAATATTCTTTTTATGTTCCACATCCCTCCTCACGTTTTTTTTCTCTAATTTTTTTTTTTTTGCAAACAAATCTCCTCGCATTGCTATTTTTATTTATCACCGTTAATACTTGGCGTACGTTAAGTGGTGGTGGTGGTGGTGGTGGTGCGGCGGGGGGGGGGATATATGCACATGCGTTTTCACTTTTAATCTTTTTCTTTCCCTAAAATAGAATTCACTTCGTTCTGTAAAAAGAGAAAAAGAGAGAAAGAATTAGAGAGAGAGAGAGAGAGAGAGAGAGAGAGTGAGTGAATGAGAAAAAGATAGAGTATCTTTGATATAGAAGATAATAGGAGGGTAAAAAGATAGGCTGGAAGCTGTAGAATATAACGGAGAGGTAAAGAGAAAGAGAGTGAGAGAGAGAGAGAGAGAGAGTACATAGCGCTCGCATATTGTGCAAGAGGATTACCTTGGATTATGCCCGACTGAGCGCAAACAGGATCTCACCGGCTTGTGTTTACAAGACGCCAAGCTGTCGATTTAGTAAACTCGAACTCAACTCTATCTCTCAACGAATAGCAACCAATTCGAATCGGATCGCGATTAACGCCATAAACCATATCTACCCTAGGCAAGATTTAAACCTTCTCCCTATATCCTATCTAATAAATAATATTTCTTTACGATAAATATCTAATTTACTTAATTATAATGACACTATATTAAAAATACTCCTACTCTATTATTATATAATTATAATAACTATTATAATTATAATAACACTATATTAAATATATGTAATAAGATAAGAAAAATACGATGATAGATAAATTAAAATATATTGAGAATAAAATGATATTATAATTATTTCGTAATCGTAATTTCTTAACAAAAAAATTATGATATCGAATAGGAATCAAAAATATTTTAAACTTAAGTTATTATTAATATCTTATTGTACAACGTTTATTTGCTTCTTTTTTTAATAATTCTATATGTTTTCTAATTATACTACAATATATTGCATTATTAATATAATTAAATACTCTCGTAACAATATTTTCCTATAAATGTTGAATGAAACATATATACGTGTATATTATATTAATTTTTGTTCTTAAGATTCGTTCATTAGAATAAAAACGTTTCTTGGATCAATTCTTTCCTAATTCATCCTACGCCCCCACTTCTTGATTTCATCCCTATCCTAATTCATACGACAAAACGTGTCCCGAAACATAACGGTGACAACGCGATACGCGCGAAACAACGTCGGCTTGGTATTATACAACCGGATGGTAATAGGTTCCATATCCAAGAGCTGCCGGCACCATTATGCTTTACATTTCCGGGGAAACACTGTTAATGGCACTGGCACCGGCAGTACCAACACAATCACTATCACCATCATCACTACTATTACAGTACTATATTCCTGTTAAACATACACACTCATACACATACGTATGTGAATGTTCCGAATGTCACCGTTTCTGACGCCGCGCACGTCAAAATTCATCCCCCATAATGTATGTATGTACGTATGCATATATATATATATATATATATGTATGTATGTATCTCTAAAGATATATATCTCTCAACATATATGCGTACGTGTATGCTCAAATTCGTGGGTATTAATTGCTTGCACTGCCGCATACGCATTGACTTCTATACACCCATTATGTTAGCAGGTTAACGCACGTCTATAATATCCGTTCATTGATTGATAATAACACGAAAAATGAATGGGGAAAAGAATGAAGGAAGAGTTTTCGAAGTATTTCGTTTACTCATCGATATTAATATCCAAATCATATTACGTTTTCAATGTGAACGAATTAATAATTTCATTTGAACGATTTGTATATACTTTTTATAAGAAAAATAAATAAAAAAAAAAAAAAAAAGATAGGAATAAGAAAAAATTGTCTTTTACATTTGTTTTTCCAAATTAATTGCAATCGATTGATTGAACTTGCTTCAATGTTTCTTTTTTTAACTTGTACCATACAAATGGATGAAAGTATTTTAATGTCTTTATACTTGTTTAAAGGAGATTAAATATATATATATAAAAAAAAGCGTGTCCGTTATCGTTAAGAGGTGTATATAAATAGGTATATATTTAAAAGTATATATACGAGAGCAACGTCAAATTGTCTTACTTAGAGTCGAGACGAGCAATCGATCGACCGTTTACACTGCTTAAGCGAGTGGAACCAACTGCAAGAAGCGACACCATATGCAACTTAATTGTCTACGAACGATACTAAAGTCATGCCAAGTTTCATACTCATGCTCTCTCTCACTCTCTCCTCTCTTTTCCTGAAAAAAAAAAGAAACAACATTCCTCGTGGTATCTCGCATAAAAACTTTGCATTCTTGTTTTGAAATTACCAACGTTATTAAAGGTAATAATAAAATATGACGAAAGGGTTATGTTGAAATTTTCACAAGGAAAATTTGATAGTCACCATATTTAAACCAAAATTTCGTTCGTTATTTTAAATAAAAAAAGAAAAAACTTTGACGTCAATAATACATACATACATATATACATACATACATACGTGCATACATATATATGTCAATATTGTTGAATAAGAATGAAATAACCCATAGAAACAGAAATAGGATCGAATTGCACCCTAAAACGATTTTCAAAAGCTGCCGCTTTCATTTTCGTATCGAGTACCGATCGACGAGAAGCTTTTTCATCTCGAAAGCCACGAAAGGAACCCTCTCTCTTTCTCTCTCTCTCTCTCTCTCTCTCTCTCTGCATCTCTTTCCCTCTTTCTCTCTTTCTCTCTCTCTTATCCTCTCTCTTGACGAAGGAAAGGTTCGTTCACAATGCTTGGCGTCGAATACGTCACCGCGGGGTGTCCGCACTTGTGTCGCCTTTTGCCATTCTCTCTCATTCTGTTTTTCTCTCTCTTACTCTCTTTCACTTTCTCACTCTCTCTCACTCTCTCTCTCTCTCTCTTTCTCTCGTTCTCTTTATTTACTCAATCTAACTTGCTTTACGGATTTGCCACGGCAAATTCATCGTCTATCGCCTAATTACCTTATAATACAAGTGAAAGAGAAAATGAGAACGAAAGGGAGAGAGACAGATTGAAACGCATTCATCTTCTATAGAATACCCTCATAGCTATTGTGTTTTAAGCTGTATTATTAGAGACACCTACATGCAATTTATACCGGTAATTATTACCGATACTGTGATTAAATGTTAAAAGAGAACATCACTTCTTATTTAATTCTGTTCTGTTTTTTTATTTTTTTATTTTTAATCATTTATAGATAATAATATTATTGTTATCATATTAAGAAGAATGATATTAAAAAAATGTTACGGGTAATTTTAATATAAAATATATATATAGATATGTACGTAAATTTGAATTCTTTTTTCAGTGATCAAACTTTTTCGAAAGTTTACTCGATTATTATTGTTTAATAAAAAAAAAAACTTTTTTTCAACGTTTGTGACAAAATTGGTGCTCTTATAAAAATAGCGATAGAAAAAAAAATTTTAATATAAAATATACGTAAAAAAAAAAAACAATTACTCATAAAAAAATGGAAACGAATTATAACGCGAAAATTGACTACAACCAGAAACGTATATTTAGTTATATCTAATTTTTTCTATATGTATATATATGTGTATATATACATTTTATATTTTACGTAAGTTATTCACGACAATGATTAAATAGAAGAAAACTTATCTAACCCGTTAGAAAAATTAATAATCTCGGGAATAAAAATAAAAATATAAAAAATATAAAAATTCATATATAAAAAAATAAAAACAATATAATATATATACATAACGCTCATAGAAACTGAAAGAGAACTACGGTGTGAAACCTCAAAACCACAGAGCAGTCTCTTCGCGGAAAAGATCAAAGCGTAAAGCACGTGATCACGTACCAAGATCTCTCTCTCTCTCTCTCTCTCTCTCCTTTTTCTTCTTTCTTCTTCTTCTACTTCTTGATCTTCTCTCTCTGTCTCTTTCTTTCTTTCTGCCGACGGCCGACGGGGATTGTTGTCGTCTACTTCTTTCGATTTGTCGTACCCTCCACCTCCACGATCGGCAAGAAAACGATTCCTTGTATCCTTGAATTTGTCTTCTTTTCTGCTATCCTCTTAAATGATCAACGATGATGATCTATGATGATCTACGATGATCTATCCTTACCAATCGTGTTGTCACTTTGAAGTTCCCTTTTATTTATACACACGCGTATTAACACTGATTTAATTAATCCTTTTCTCGAGTCTTTAAACAATTAAATCTCAATCACGATAATCGATTTATTATATTTATGATTTATTATTTTATTACTATTATTAATATTATTATTATTATTATTATTATTATTATTATTATTATTATTATTATTATTATTATTATTATTATGTATTTAAACGTAATAATAACGCGCACAAATCAACTGAACGATCTATTTAATAATTAATCTATCTATCTAACTATCTTAATCAATCTTTTCCACAAAAGATAGATTTTAATTAACAAGTTGCAAGAAGAATTGTTGTGATCATTTAAACACGTTAGATCAAATGTATTTAAAACTGACGATTTTTTTTTTTTAATTAAACCTCACGATCGTTAACCCTCACGGCGAGTATTAATCCAATAACAGAAAGCTCCTCTCTCTTTCTCTTTATCTCTTATTTTATTTCTGTTCGTTTCAAGAAATTCCGTAAGGATCGGTTGCGACGGGAAACGATCCGCACGATAAGAACGCACGTGTCTTTCTGATCGGATCACCTTCTTTTCGCGTAGAAATAAGAGAAGAGTAGTAATACGGTGGTGGTAAATATGGAAGGAGTTGTGTCAAGATCTTACACGGTTATGATGGAATTTCTTTTGAAGAAAAGTTTAACGCACTTTGTGCTTTTTCTCCTTTTTTTTTTTTATCTATCCATCTATATGTATATATAGTATCTCTCTTTATCTTTATCTTTTTCTTTATCTCTATCTCTTTCTATTTTTCTCTTTCTTTCTCTCTCTCTTTCTCTCTTTCTCCTTCTCTCTTTCTCTTGTTCTTTTTTGAACCCCGTGCGCGTAACTCGCCGTGCGCTCTCCTCGCCGTGAGGAAATATTATTAGGCAAAGTACACGCACGGACTGGCACGGTAAGACTTGGCGAACTCTCGTTGGGTCGTGGCTAACAGCTAGAGCCGCGGCTACATCGCTTACGCTCGACCAATAAGAAACTTCCTCGGTTGCCCCCACCACCGTTCGGGGTGAATTTCAGTGGTGGGGATGCTGCCTCCGCTTCGTGACATCATCGATTCTGAATGGTGGAGATGCTCGACCGTGCGGAAGGCACATCGGAGGGCGCGTGCTGTGCAACACTTTCACGCATGCGCATTAACTCACGCGCGCGACTATATTCTATCCCTTTCTCTCACACCCTTATTCTAACTGCATACACACGTACGTATTTTCACACTTATACATATTATATATATATATACGTGTATGTTCGTATAATCGTGTAACTATATGTGTGTGTATGTTTTCTTCTTATGTGTTTGCCGTTGCTGTTACCACCACCACCACCACCACCACCACCATCATCATCACACCACCATCACCATCAACCACCACCAATGTTACCACCACCACCACCACCACTGCACGAAAAAGGCTACCCACGCTGAGAATTCGCGCCAGACGCGATTTGGCTGTCCAGCCGATCGCTGAACATTGATAACTACGTAGTATTTTGCATCTATTATTATTTCGTTTCAATCGTAATCACTCTCGACAATCTTTTTCTATTACTTACCCCCTCCCCTATTTGTCTTGGAATTTACTTTTATTTTTTTTATAATTTTACAAAAGGATATTTTTGTATATATGGAATTTTATATGGTTTCGTCGTGTTTGTCTTCTCTTCTTCGTTTATTTTTTTATAAATTAAAAGGATACTTTACCGATGATAATCCTAGTCAATTAATTCTCGTGTAACTCATGAAGATTTCTAAAAATTGTTTCATTAGAAAAGAAAAAGAGAGTAAGGAGTAAGGATTTTATTTAAGGGATTGATTAAATCATTTGAAATGTCATCGATCATACATTTAAATAAGATTAACAATTAGATATAATTTAAGTTACACACCAATCATTTTTTAGTCAACTTATTAAACCAAAAGATTTCATTTCTTTCCCCTTCCCCTTTGAAAAAACAGTTTAAAGAGAGGAAATGGATGAGGGTTGGTTTGAATTGGTATGGAACGGGGGGAGAGGTAGTTGAGTTAGTTCGGTTTAAAGCGTAGAGGAATTTTTGTGTACGCTTTTGGAAAGGCGTTTTGCCGTGCTTTTGCCTGGTAGGATATTAAAATATAATTGGCGTTTGTCCCCTTTGTGCAAAACAGTATCTAGTCACGCGTGCCTCGGCCGTGGGTGTTATGCACGCCAGAGTAGTCCGCGAACGTCGGCTGACTCACCCTCTTTTTTTTTCTTTTTTTTCCTACCACCGTGTTCAAAGATCTATGTGTATCTATCTCTATCTCTATCCTATCTATCTTTATCCCTTTCGCTTTCTCTTTCTCTCTTGCACTTATTCTTTCCATCTCACCCTGTCGTGGATGGACTGACGTTGAGGCGGGGGTGTCGTTGCATCCACCCCTGCCGGTAGTGCGTGCGTCTACGTTTTCTCGCTCCCTCATTCGTTCTTTCAAGCAAGCTCCTTTCACACAAACTTATTTTTTTTTTGTTTTTTTCAATTTTTCTATTCGCAAAATTATAAAAAGGATTTTGATTAAAATTATGAAACATCTTATTTCGATTTTATATCGATGTTTAACCGGTTAAGGGATGTTATTTTTGAAAGATAATTTTTGTTATGTTTTTTTTTTTTGTAAAATGTCGCGTATAAGCGTCATGCCGATAAAACATAATAATGTTTTTTTTTTTTTAAACCACGCATATATATATTATTATATATTATATTTTAATATATGATATATACGACACACACACACACAATTATAATATATAATATATATAATATATCATATATAAATGATAAAATATATATTTTCTATAGAGAATTTACTTCAATTGATTAAAGTCAAATGGAAAAGTATTGTAAAAAGAAAAGAAAATTATAATAATTAATGTAAATGAGTAAAATATAACATAAAAATAATGTCGAATCATCGAAGGATAAAATTTAGAGAAAAAGTCGGTCGTTTCTTGATGTCGAGATTAGTATACCGATTAGAAATGATTCGAAGTCTAGTCTAGAGGAGAACGATGTGAACTCGGCTTTAGGAGGATCCACGCGGTGGAAGTAACGCGTTTCGATTTTGCGTTAGCTCAGCTACGCGTGAATCCAGCCAAGGTCAAGTCGTTCCCCGCTTCCGAGCATAGCATCCCTCCGGCACTCGGGCAGGGTTCTTAAGATCGATTCCAACCAATTTTCTCTTCTAGCCTCGATTCGATATGCCAAAAGAGAAAGAAACAGATAAATAAAACAAAAAAGATACAGAAAAAATGAAATCAATTTCAATGAATATTTATTTTTATAATGATTACGGGATACCTTTCTTCTTTTTCTTTGTTTTTGTAGATTAGAATAATGAATGAATTTAAGTTTAAACACTTGTCGATATCAAAAATCATTTCATAACTTTCGTAAACACGTGACGTACGTAGTCACGAGAAAAAGATAATTTTTCTCTTAAAAAATAGATAAGACTATAATTAATTAATTAAAGATTATTTTAATTATTTTGCATAAAATTCCATAAAAAAGAAATTCCTCTTACCAATGAAACGTATTTTTTTTTTTCCTTTTTTTTTCTGTTATCGACTCGTTCTCCTATTTGTGCTCCCTGATTGTTTTATCACACTTGAACAAACGTCGAATGATCGCAACTCTCACGCGAGCAAAGTCTCTCTTTCTTTCTCTTTCCCTCTCTCTCAATAAGCTTCTTCTTAACTTCTCTAAAAGTCGGTAAAGAAAAAAAAATATAAAAAGAAGTAAGAATGATTGTTTACCCATTTTGAAGTATACGCGTACTTACTTGCTTATATACTGATAATATTATTTACATTTTAACGAAGATACATGCTCGGAATTTTATTTTTTTGAAAATTCTCACTGTACTAATATTACCTAACCATCCCCACCTGACGTAACCGATTTATTTCTTATCGTGGCAGATGACCTTTTTTTTTGTTTGTTACCTTTCTTTACTCGTTTCATTTAAAAAATATAATTTTTTTTATTCCTCATTTATCTATTATATATTAACAATATTACATTATTATTATAGTTATAATTATATATTTACTGATACTGAGTATTCGTGTGAAACATAAAAAGTACAATGCAATTAATTAATGTTTAATAAAAACAATTTTTAAAAAAAGTAATATTACAAAAATTTCTTTAACAAGCGATAAATAAAAATATAAATTTACGATTTTGTATTATAATTTATATTTTAAATATTATATATATATATATATATATATATATATTAATTTTAATTAAAATATAATATATAAATTTATTTTTTATTATATTTACTAATAAAATATATATATTTTATAATTATATTATATATTATAATATACATTTTTATTTATCGCTTGTAAAATAAATTTCGTTATTAATAAAATACCCAAGTGACAGTTAGATGTAAATCTTAAAAAATAAAAAACTTGCATTAATAATTTAGTAACGAACGAATTCGAGTACGTAGTATAACAGGTGAGAAACGGCAAAGTATAAGACCTTACGTTAGTAGAAAAGGGATTGAAAGATAGAAATAGTGAGAAAAAGAGAAATAGAGAATGAAAGAGAGAATGAGAGAAAGAGAGAGAGTTAGTGGAAAGGAAGTGGAAGGTAGAAGGGCAAAACAAACAAATTAACGGTAGAGTCGCTTGTTTATTGTTGGGTGGGGACACGGTAACCACGCCTTTGTCAAGCACGCCCTCTGAGCGTTATGTTCCCCCTTTTTTCCCCACCACCATCAACGCCCCATGCTAGTAAAGTTGCCCCCGCCTACCCCCACTCGACCAGCCTACACCACCACGACGACGACGACGACGACGACGACGACGACTACTACGACGACGACGACGATGAGGATGACTACGACGAGGAGGACGAGGATGAAAACGAGGACTATGAGGAGGAAACGGTGGTGGAAGTGACGTCAGACTCGATGCCGGCAACGTGCAACAGGCGGCCGGTGGTTGGTGCTTTTACACAATCCACCAACTTCAAACGCAAACGCGCTTTCTCTTCTATGAAGTATAAAAAAAAAAGGAAAAAAGAAAAAAAAGTCTTTAAAATGTT